CAGTTTGTCTCGTACAGAAAGAGACCTCGCTACGCTTCGGACAATTATGAGTCCTCGCTAACACTTTGGACAATTAGCGTATTATAAGGTTGTGGCATCATGCTATACCTGCATGTGGTATGATGCGCTCATGCCATGGCATGTGTGCACTTATGTGCTTGTACTATGTAAATTGATTATTACGATCCAATTTCAAAAGGAGCAGAGAGCCAGTGGATTTTAGTACGTAGTAGCTGGCATCATGCCATGCCTGCATGTGGTATGATGTGCTCATGCCATGACATATGTGCGCTTAAGTGCTTGTACAACGTAAATTGATAATTACGATCCAAATTGCAACAGGAGCAGTGGATTTTAGTAATAGCAAAAATAGCAATAGTGATATCACGGCAACCACATAACTAAATCTAACCGAAATTGTTTTATTTTTGATTCTATATATTTCTATAATTAAAATAAACCAATTTTAATCAGATTTGGTTATGTGATTATCGTGATATCATCAGTTCTATTTTTGATATAATATTACTGCGCTATTGATGATTTATAAGAAAGCATGAAAACACGAATCTATAATAAATTTTATTAAATATTTTAAAATGTATTCTTTTGAATATCATTTGTGCGTTAATGATGAGTGTCTTTGAAAGTTTTTAAAAAAAATTTTCAAAGCATTAACTAACAGACTAATTTAAATTACTTGATGATATTTCATGTGATTTATATTACATTTATAGATTATGAAATTATGTTAAAGACTTAAACTGGACAGAGACTTTTTGATAGCTTATCAATTGATAAATTCGCAATAAAGACCTAGCTTTACTCTTGAAACACTAGATTAAATTTATTAAACAATATGCAGATCATGATCCACAGAACCAATTTTTTTGTTTGAAAAATAAAACGGTGTAAAAGCATAGAGGGTTCAATTAGATAAATAAATTGAAATCAATTTTCAGATATGTTTAATATCATAGAGATTTCAACAGAGAAAATAGATCATCTTGATGATATTACTAATTAGTTTTAAATAAATGAATTTTGATAAAAATGACTTTTAGATACCATTGAAAAACAATGTTTTTATCCGGAGCGGAGTGTAGAACTTTACTGTCCAGACCTGTGACGGGTGCCCCTGCAATAATATTCAGATCAGGCAGACGTTTTACTGTCCAGACTTTTATACCCCAGTAAAAAGCTATGCTTGACAAGATCATGTGTAACTAAACAAGAAATCACTCCTTTTCGAATTTACAAGAGAAATAAAAAATGACAGAAATTAGCAAAACTACGATGCAATATTATCATGTACTGTAGAATTGAATGTTTACTTCTGAACTTATTTATTGAATGAATAAAAATTTCTTATAGAACATACTGTAAAATTAAATATATATTAACAATTATATTACAATTATAATAAAATAAAATTATGTGAAATTAACAATTATTAAATGTAAAAATATATAGCTATTTGATAATGCCAAATACCATCAGATTTTATAATCAGTTATTATACGTTATTTTGATTTACTTAGTTTTATTGCGATTAATATTAATATTTAATGCTTTTATTAAATGTAAAAATGTAGTTTACACATTTAAGATTAGTTGTTAAATAATTAGCTATTACCAACTATTTGATAATACTAAACACTATCAAATTTTTAATCAGTTATTACCTATTGTTTTGATTTATTTAAATTTATTGCAATTAATCTTAATATTTAATGCTTTTAGATTTATTTAAAGTATCTTTAATAAATAAACAATATAGTAATCAAGAAACTTCAAAAGAATGAAATATTCATCTTGAAAGAAGGTGTGAAAGAGACCAGTTATGTTGAGAAAGAGAAATCTTGGAAGAACATGATTATCAAAGAAAAAAGTATCGAGAAAGAATACAACAACATCATGCAAAAAAAATTCATGAACAAGTAATTTTAAAAGCCAGTCAAACTGAACAATTTCAATCAAATAATATTTAGGAATTGACACAGTATAATTGACAACTCTTAGTTTAATTTCACAATTACATAATTAATATCAAGAATTCACATTGTCTTACATGCAATGAATTTTTTTCAACAATTAATTTTAATAATGGTGAATGTCAATATTGTCATAATGTTAAAGGGCAAATTAAAAAATTCTCATTAGAAAACAATATGGATCTGGAAGATGTATCTACTGAATTACAAGGTTTGATCAAAATAAAAGAGATGTTAATCACTTAAGTGTTCTCTGTTATGTTAGTATACAATCTTTAAAGAGACCAATATGGATACTGTGAAAATATAATCAATTTTCTACAAGATATTGAAGAATTTACAACTCAACTTTTCTGTCATCCTTCATTTCTAGAAATTATGATTGTAAATCAGCAGTCTAAAGATGGATCAGCATTTAATAATTTCAAAATTCATCAAAAAAAAAATTGTATAAATACTATAATGTCTAAAAAAAAATATATATATTACAATAATATTATGATTGACAATAATGTACTTTAAATTTTACCAGAAAACAGCACTATCCTAGAACAAATTCCACAATTCAATAATAATTAACCTATTAGCACAATAGGTTTTAATGATTTTAATAATATAACTGAATAAGAAAGTAATGATAATAATATAATAATATGATTTTTTGTTCCAGTTGCTCTTCCTAGTAACTGTGAAAGAAATGCTATCAGAAATACACTTAATTATATGCAAAGTAATTACCAAATTAAGGAAGTTGTAATCATCAAATAGTTAAATATAGATAGTAACCCAATTAACAAATTTCATACTACAGAATACATAGTATGTGTCTTTCCAGTTTTGTATCCAACTGAAAATGTAGACTTGTAATCTGAACATATAAGAGAAGTAAAACCTGCTAAATACTTTCAGCATTTATTAAAATAGAAAGATAGAAGGTTTGCATAACATCTTAGATGAAGATATTTTGCCTTAAATTCTTTAATACATTGGCATGCATTACATGAGAGGAAAATATTTGTTAAACAAAATTTTAGTGAAAATCAACTTACTGTTACAGACATATTAAAAATGATTTAATTTGACAACTATCTGGCTGATAGAGTTATAAGATTTGATGAAGGTCTACAAGAAAGTTGACAGTTTTGAATGAAAAGATGTTCAGAATTTTCAAATATAATCAAACAACTTGGACTTCAAGGACTTATTTTTTATTTTTAGTGTTGCAAACTTATACTGGCCCAAGCTTCATGATCTCATGCCTTATGATATAAATAGTGAAACTAATTCAGAATCTGCAAAACATTATTACCAAAATTTAATTAACAATTCTCACATAGTAGTTGGTTTTTTAAAAAATACTTTGAAGTATTTTTTTATAAAATGTTGTATTCATACTAGAAATTAGTTGATTGATAGTACCATTTTGAATGACAACACCATGATAGTGTTCATCTACATGGGATTGGTAAAAGACATAATACTCCAGACTTTAATTGGAAGAAAATAAAAAAAATAAAAATAAAATGAATAAAATCTTAGCTTATTTTGATAATTTGGTTACCACAATTAACCCATATTTAGATACACCTATTTCAGATCATTATCTATGTCAAAAGTAATATGATGAACTAAATGATAGTCTGCAAGACTATATTAAATTGGTTAATAAGTTACAATGACATATGTGTTGTAGTTTATTATATTGCCTTCATATTAATAATCGAACTATTAAACAAAAATATAAATCTGGATTTCTTAAAAAAAATACTGAACATACCTTTATACATGATAATAAACAGAATTAATCTGAACTTGTTACAAAGAGAAACTATCCTTATATTAACTCTTATAATCAATTTCAGCTTCAAGACTGAAAAGCAAATGTTGACCTTAAAACTATACTTAGTATCCATACTGCTTTGCAGTATATTTGCAAATATATAAGCAAATTTGAACCATACTCTACACCTTTTTTAGATTTGTTAAATTAGATACTTTATAATAGCAATTTTAATAACTTATTAATTACTCCTATTCAATATTTGTTATTTTATACTATTACTAAATGTGATATATCTGCTTAGAAAACTTGTTATCTATTTCTTAGTATCCCCTTTTATCACTCAAGTTATAAATTTGTTATATTGAATCTTAACAATAATGCTCCTCATTATTTTTGTAACACTAAAAATTGAGAAAATAAACAAAATAATGCATCAAACATTAATAATTATAATTGTAGAAAAACAACTAAATCTTTTCTATAGTTATATTAAGATCAACTAATAGAATTCAATAACATATCACTTTTTTTATCTTTATTTAAAATACAATCTTGTTAATGGTCAATGGAAAGAATATAAGAAAGTAATAATATTATAAGAATTTGGCCACATCCATCTTCTTTATATAATGACTAAATAGGAAAACTTTTGTTACATAAAAGTACTTCTACATGTATCTCATAAATTTCTTCAACAATTAACAGAAAATCATACTATCTCTTGAGTAGATTTATATACCCTTCATCTTACAGAAATAGAAACTGATTTTGATGACTTATTTGGTTCTGTACTAAATAACTTGTCTGACAATAATAATTATAATATAAATGATGAAGAATATATAATTTAAAATGATGAACAAAATGATTTATTAGATGAAATTAGATTGAATTGGATGCATCTAGTGGAAATGAGTCTGAATAATGACAATTATAATTTTAATCTCGATTTGGAAATATGTAACATAAACCAGAACTATGAATGAACTGCTAGTGCTAAACAATATTCAAATATTGATGTAGCAAACTTTATACAACATGCATTAATTGAAAATAAAAATGTTGAAAATTTAGTTACTGCAATCATTGAGGATCATATATTAAATAATATTCAACGAATTATCTTTGACTGAATCAAATCACATTATATCAGTCAGAATATCAATTCATTAAAAATAATTATTATAGGTACAATTAGAACTAAAAAGTTATATCTAATTAAAATGATCTGTGACCAACTTAATAATATTGCAATAAAGTATAATTCTAAATCACCTATACTTATACTTGTCTCAACAGAAGTTGCTGCAAATAATATAAATGGTACTACTATACTCTCTGCACTCTCTATTCTAATATTCAAAACATGTCTTGACATTGATGATGAAAAATTAAAACAATTACAAAAAAGACTTCAAAATATTATTTATATTGTTATTAATGAAATGAGTATGGTAGGCCATAGTATGCTTGCTATAATAGATATATGACTATGTCAAGTTTTTCCAGAATATAAAAATATGTCATTTGGTGGCAAGTCAGTAATTCTTGTCAATGACTTTGGTCAGCTTCCACCTGTTTGTGATCTTCCTATATATGTAAAAAATCCTTATAATCATGATTCAGTGTCAAATGATAGTCATATACTCTCAGTTTCAAGAAGTTTATAGGCTTAAAGTAATCCAATGCCAATCTGGAAATTCAGATAATCAATGCCAGTTTAGAGATATTTTATTGAGACTACGTAATGATGAAAGTATTGATGACTCGATTTGAAAATAAATTATCCAAAACAGAATGCAACCAATTTTCTACAACCATACATATCTTAACAAGATGGTTGGATGTTGATGAAATTAATTTTAATATGCTTAAATCATTACATTGTCCTGTTGCCAGAATTGTTGCTGTACATAGTGGTGGTAAAGAAGCTAATACAGCTGATTCTGATACAGCATGAGGACTTGAAGCTCAACTTTTAGTAGCAAAAGGTGCAAGAATTATGCTCACAGCAAATTTGTGGACATCTGCTGGACTAGTTTATTAAAATTTTGTGATTCTATTGATGTAGTTCGTACTTGAACTGATAAAATTCTTTAACCCGCAATCACTTTACCTAAGCAATGCACCACAAACTTGTCACACATTTAAGAAATGATGCTGGTACGTAATAATTGAAAAGATTGCTTGTAAAGGAAGAACGTATGGTAAAATGTATTTAATGGGATTTTGTTACGTACATACGTGCGTATGTATGTACTTCGCAAACTTTTCTCCTTCAAAATGATTTCGCAGCTTCTGAATGAATGCCCTTATGAATATTTAATTACTACAGTGACCTCAAGAAATATCATAAAAGCTTATTTCGTGCTTCTTGTAAATCGAAAATTGTGAAATTGCAGTATCAATATTGCAGAGCAAACTGCAGGGTTATTTCAAAGATGAAAGAATTATAATGTTATATTGTTTATCGTTAAATGCTAAGGCTTATTCCACTAAACATAAAACTTCCGAAATTTTCAATGCCATTATTAAAATATATAGCTTATACTACTTCTGTTAATGGTTACAGTTTAGTTGTTAATATCGAAAGATGGTTTGGTCCTCTTAAATTATCCATTTAATCCATATACAAATTAATTAGCTCAACATTATAAATATACTCCAAAAAATCCAACTAAGTAATTTATTTGATGATCAAAATGTTCCGCAAAAATGTAGTAAACTTATAATTTAGAAATTTATGGAATCGTTGATAGCGAGATGATTGAGCTTCTTAATATAAATACCAATTTAACCTTTAAAACATTATTGCAATATCTTTGATTCTGAAAGAATAAAAAAATTATTAGTGGAAGTTCTCTGTACAAACACAAATTTAACCACTTTAGGAATTACTCATAAAAAACTTATTTATGAGTAAAATAATTAATATAAACACTTTTAGAACCGCCATTCCGATTTTTTTAAAATACCAATGAGAATCAACTTGGCTCTAAAGGTGGAAAAGCAATAGCAAAATTTCTTTGCAGTACTGTACGATGTTTAGTAACTTATACAAATGTTGTTTCAAAAAAAAAGAGGTTCAGTCTTAATCCTATTGGATAAATTATAATGATTCTTAAATTAATTAGAATTATGCTACAGTTAAAACTCTCTAAGTAACTTTTATAAAGATTCAACTTTTATAAGAGACGCTTGGGGAATAATAAAAAACTGCACTTATGAAGATAAAGTTCAGTCAACTCTTTCTATAACGAACTGACGGTTCTGGAAGAAAAAAAAGTTCATTATAGAATGTTATTATATTTTCTTAAGTGAAATTACCGAACTATTATAAAAATTTCAAAATGTTAAGTTCACTATATCCAGAGTTCGTTATATAGAGGTTCATTATATCCAGAGTCGACTGTATAAATTTGAGCTAGGATTTAAGAGTGCATTTAGAGAGATTGCGTAATTCGAGGCTCATTGCAATAAATATTTAGCCGTAATTAAATTTTAATCTAATCTATATACTGTTAGAATATGCTACAGATTTTATCTAGAAAATGATAAGTTTCGTCTAATTGTATTCGTTCATTTTAGCTATTCTAAGTTCAATACTTCAAAGGTATGTATTTTTCAAATGTGCACTTAAGAATTGATCCATTTATCACTTGACTAACCTACTTACTGTTATTAAATTATTGATTCTCTGCTTTTTACACTTACGTTAATCGCAAATCACCGTACAGCGTAGACTAAAAGACCTCTTTTATAATACTCACGATTTTCGGAGGCCTAGAATATAAAGTGCCCCAGATACTAAGGACGGATTAATTGCACTTGTGAATGTAAAATACCAGGGTACTTAACAAATCAATTATGAAATTTGCCAACTAAAATATGATGGGATTAATATAGTATAAATAATTTATTTTAAATACATCTATTGACAAAAGTAAATAATTTATTTTAAAAAAACTACATACATGCAAGAATGCTACCTTACTAATACTAATATATCTGAATTGCATATAAAGTCCACCTAAATAACATAGTTAGTATTCGACCTACTGCACATATAATCTAATTTAAAGTTGCAAATAAAACTTATAAAAGTTAAGCAAACAAAAAACTTATGACGAAAGCGGTTTCATCTGCAACTCGATCTGAAAATCCATCTTCCGTTCCTGGTTTTGCGTAACAACGTCGCGCAGCTACTTATTACATAAAAATACCATACTTTATAATTTAAGCTCATTAAATAAAAAAATTACAATTAAGTTTTTGAAAAATAAAGCCGCTAAGCTGTAATAAATTAGTTCAACTACAAAATAGTGACTTATTTTTTGCGATATTGTTTTTATATTAAACATTTAAAGTTTGTGAAGCCCACATTATATAAAAGCTTCAAATTGCGAATGTAGATAATTTATCAAACTTTTAGTAAAAATAAATTTTTATTTTAAAAAAAAACAAGTAAAAAAAAAAGTTCTATCGAATAAAAAAAAAACCACCTATATGATAACTAAAATAAAGTTTCTTATCATGCTATTTCTATTATAAAAATACCATTTGTACATACAATTGCTAATCTGAAAAATTGTTATTCCGATTCTTTTTTTTCGATAAGCTCAATTAATTTATTTATTTTATTTGTCAACGTTTCGTCCTTTTGATTTTTCAATTCATTTATTTTATTTGTCAACTCATTTATTTTATTTGTCAACGTTTCGTCCAGATTTTTCAATTCACTTGTTTTATTTGTCAACGTTTCATCTATTTGATTTTTCAATTCAATTGTTTTATTTGTCAACGTTTCGTCAATTTGATTTTTCAATTCATTCGTTTTATTTGTCAACGTTTCGTCCATTTGATTTTTCATTACTTCATTTATTTGATTTTTAAACTTTTCATTTTCAAAGACTTCATTTATTTGATTTTTAAATGTTTCACCTTTAAAGACTTCATTTATTTGATTTTTTAATTTCTTTTCGGAATCTTCTGTCTTAGTAATGTCCAAAATTTGAGGAAGCAAGTTTTTTTTATCTTCGATACTTTCTACATATTTTTTAAGCTCCTTAACTGAAGCTTTGTAATATCTAGAAATTTTATTATAAATTAATATGCATAAATTAATATATACATAAATTAATAAATAGTTTAATTTTCAAAATATTAAAAATAAAATTATTTAATTATTTACAATATTTCTGGAAACCAATTATTTTTTCTTCTTTGATAAGGTAACATCCAAAAAAGTTCAATTTCAGATAATATCTAATAATAAGATATAGTAATTATTTTATGCTATTTTTAAATAATTATGAAATAAAAAATTTTTACCTCTCCTCTTAATTGTAAAAAGGATTCCTCATTATTTCGTTCAT